CCCCCCCCCCCTTCCCCTCTCCTGCAGACATCACCACGGAGCTGGCCTACCTGACCAAGGAGCTGAAGGCAGACCCCTGCGTGGGCCACGCGCTGTCCTTGCGCGCCGCCTGGGCCCTGTCCAACTACCACCGCTTCTTTGGGCTCTACCGCCAGGCGCCGTGCATGTCTGGCTACCTCATCGACAAGTTCGCCGAGCGGGAGAGGAAGGCGGCCCTCAAAGCCATGATCAAAACGTATGTCAGGCCGGGAGGGCGCCCCGCCCGCTAACCCGCCCCCTGCTGGCGGAATGGGGCCACAGCCAGTCACTTCTCCAGCTGACAGTACAGCTGGATCTGATTGGCCCAGCTAGGGCGGGGGTAGGAAGGATCCTGATTGGGTGGGGGGGCAGCCTAACTTGGTGGGGGGCGGGGGAGGTCACCCGTCATCTTAACCAGCCGTCTCCCTGCGGCAGGTAAGTAGAACCGAGCCAGGGTGCAGCGGGGGGCCCTGTAGGTGACTCGTCGGCTCCGTGCCCAGATGCTGCCTCCGCTCCGAAGCGGGGAGCTGGGGCCGGCCTGCTGTGCATGGGCTAAGGCTGCTGCTAGCACCTTCGTGGGACGGGTGGGGATTGCAGCCTGGCAGCAAACCTTCCGGATGGTGGGGGGGGCAGGATTAATTCACAGGAAGGCAGCTCCAAGGTCCTGTGCTGTAGCCCCCAGAGGAGACTTGGGGGGGAGGAGCCTCACTGGCTTGGCAGCTCCAGCCCCCCAGATCAGGATCAGGGTGGCCCCAGAGTTCAGATCTGAACCCTTCTCCCAGCTGGTTCGGAAAGCGCCGGTGTTTCCCTTCCAGCACAGGGAGTGCGGGGGGTTGGGCTGCCTCCCCGCTCCGGCCCGGGGCTGGCACTTAGAGGGGCCGGGCTGCTGCCAAAGGGGATGGAGGCAAGCTTCCTGTGGGGGTGAGGAGGCAAAGCTAGAGAGGGAGGCCAGCGGGTTGGGGCCACCATAAGAGTCTCCCTGCTCCATGGAGAGTCCGGTTGCCCCTGATAGCAGCTACCTTCCCTGCTCTTGAAACAAGGGGCCTCATGCTGCCTCTTAGGGGTGTGGGGGGCAGCCCCCTGAAGAGCGTGGGTGGATCTGCTCCCCACTGCTTGACCTGGGATGCGGGTAGGTGCTGGGAGGTGGGAGCACTCG